CGTTTAAACTCTAGCCATGCGACGTGGTGAAAGCGTCTGTTGTGCGAACTGCTAAGCCTAAACCATGTTTCAGTTTGACACGCGTGGTGTTTCGTCTATGTTGCATGATTTGGATCATGACGGGTCTAATTCGAAGCGAGTTCTCTCGTCCCAGTAAGAACACGATGATCGACGCCGGCATGCAAAAGATCACTTTGTGCCGAACGTAGCGCCCCGCTAGGCCTAAGACCCCTTGTCTTGTAAGCAGCGATGCCGGGACGCTGCGGCATTCCGGCACTGAGCCCGATGTTGAGTTGTAAGGTGCTTGAGTTGAGATCACTGCTCGGATCGGTACCGGCGTTCGCGAAGTCGGAATAATAGTGTGAGAGAGGATGTGTAGAGGTGTCTTTGTCCGTTAACAAGCAGCGTGACGTCATGCATGCAAATAAGTTGTTCGTGGAAGTTAAATTTGGAGGTGCGGCCATGTTGGACGCATTCTGTAGGGTCTCGAGAGGGTAGCCGGCAGGAAGAAACATTTGCCCAGCCTAAACGGTTTCAACTCAACTCGTGTGACCTGTTTCTTGAAAAAAAAAAAAAGAAGAAAAGCGGATTTGCATTTTATTCTTTTGTTTTCGTGTCGTTTGGAACAAACCCGCTACATATAATAGCAGCGCCGGTTAAAGCCGATCTGTCGCAGACTCTTTTTTGAAAACATTAGGAATATACAGAAAGCTGTGAACAACTTCGTTGACGTTTGGGTTCCATGTTTCACGAATTACTAACCTGAGTAGAACATTTTAAAGAAGCAGGAATGTTAAGACCTCTATCGAGCAGAAAGACATGGCGGTGGCCAAATGAAATTGCTTGTAATGTTTACAAAACCACATCCCAGCGTGCTATCTTCACAGCCAAGCACGCGCGCGCACTTTAAGAAATGCCTGCGCGTCTACTTACCCGCAAAACACTCAAAACGCCAATCATTGCGATTTAGGAAATCAGCTGAGTGAATGATGAGGTGGAACATCTTTTTAGACCTTAAAAATAAGTCTGCGCTGTGGCATTACGCAATGCAAGCATGACGCTTTGCATTGCGTAATGCCACAGCGCAGACTTCATTTTGAGGTCTAAACGGATGTTCCGCCTCATCATTCGCTCGCTGATTTCCCAGATCGCAATGATTGGTTCTTTGAGTGCTTTGCGGGTAAGTAGACGCGCAGGAATTTTTTAGAGTGCGTATGTTCGTCGCTTCGAAAAGCGAGCAATGAACGCGCCATTTGCACAAACTTTAAAAATATCACCGAATAATTGGGAGCCAAGTCGATGCAGGAGCATGATGTCATGAACAACGGTTTTACGTCACGAGTGCATGTGCATAGCATTTTTGCTGAAACAAATTTTTGTTCACTACATGCGATGTGACATCCATGCAAGATACGTATTCATTCTCTCGAACATCGTTCAAAGAAATGACTCTTTGTTTTAACCGGATTTCTTTTTTCAGTGAGACATCGGACACCTTTACAATGGGACCTCAGGGTACCCTGGAACACTACGCCCGGACAAAAATGTCCAGACAAGTCTCGGTAAAAGAGGGACTGTCCGCTTCTCAGCAGCGGTCCGGCGCCAAACATCAGGCGTTGCACGGCGGACACCCCAAGATGTCCATGTACCGTCCATCGCCCAAAGACAAGTTGTCAGCTGCGGGACCGGACAGCAGGACATCGGGACACCACGACACCTCCAGGCTGTCTCCCAGCAACCTGGCTCGCTATCAGAGTTACCTGTCCCGCGTGGAAGACGGTGGTTCGTCCGCCGAGGAGGTTGTCCGCACCAGGTCCGGACGGACGCTGCGTATGAGGCCCACTAGGTGAGGAAACGGAGTCATCGATTGCAAACAGACGCGTGTCGCGTGCCAGACGTGCGTAGTTTGTCTTACGGTGTTAAACGCACTATATAACGACTGGTTGCTCCAATAGATTGTATTTCTTAGCAGACGATGAGTAGATGACTGCTTGTTCTGAGAATTCTCTGTGAACAACACGCCCAGACATGGCGCCCAGGGAATACCTGTTCTGATTTTGATGTGGAATTGCTAATTCATTTAATTTAATTTATTTGTACCTCACAAGCTCCCCAAGGGGGCATACAAGAAGGGGGGGGGGGGGGATTCAGCAGTATACAAGGAAAACAGAAGAATGAAAATATGAACAGGCATAATGCAAAAAATTCAATATAATGAAAACACGTGGAAAACATACATATCAATTTACGAAGTATTGAGCACACACACTTTTAAATTCGTCGACATTTACTAAAGACATGATGTTAGCTGGAAGTTTGTTCCAGTCGGAAATTGCCAACTGTAAGGGTGATGTCTGGAACAGTTTTGTATGTGATGTTTGTAATAGTATCTTATGCTGATGATTAAATCGAGGAAAAATACGGTGTGGCGGCTTTAAAAGTTCAAGCTTGAGGAGTGGGTTACTTTAATACATGTTATAGATGAAGGTTAGCGTAGAAAGTTTTCTTCTGGTTGAGAGAAGTGGCAAGTCTGCTTTTTCTTTCAGCTGAGATACGCTTGTGTGTCGAGAATAATCTTTGTAGATAAATCTGCTAGCCCTGTATTGAATTGGCTCTATTTTTTTAATTAGCCAGTCTTGAGAAGGATTCCATATGATGAAGCATACTCTAATTGAGATCGAACATATGACTTGTAAGCGAGTAAACGAACGTCCGGAGGTGCCAGATATAAATTTCGTCTTAGAAAACCCAATGACCTACTAGCCTTGCCAGCCACATAATTTACGTGATTTTGCCAGTGTAGGATCTCGCTCAAAATAACGCCTAGATTCTTGTAGTTCTTTACTTTATCGATTGATAGATGACCTATTGAGTAGTTGAAACTTACAGTGGATTTGTTCTTGTGGAGAGGCCCATGAATTTAGATTTTGAGGTATAGATGTTCACTTGCCAGCGATCACACCACAATTTAGGGCGTCTAAGTCACGCTGTAGTGAGACACAGTCGGTCTGGTTTTTGTAGACAAAGAAACTCAGACGAATGGGTGAATGATAATGACTATAAACTTTGTAACGAGTAGTAGATGCGCCACCTGGCCTAAAAATATTTACTTTTCTCCACTTCCAATTTCGTTCTACATTCCGTCGCCCGTTAAATTGTCTTACTCGTCGCGAATGCAAACAAGGTTGCTAACATATGTGAGTTTGACACGTGGACAAGCGATGTTTTGATGCTTGTCGTTCTATTGAGGCTCAACGTGACAGGCCAAAACTTCGCAGATGAGAATACGCTTCAAAAGTTCGTTTCACGCTGTCGGACAAATTCTGCCGCACTGTTTTCTAGAGCATACGGCAATAACGAGACAAAATACTGCGTCGTAAAAAGAAAGAAAAAAAGAGAGCAACCAAAACGTGTCTGCGCGCGTCGCGCATATACTTTCACCCCCATGCGCCGCCTGTCGGCACGAGCGAGAAGTGCGCAGTGTCGCGCTCTCGTCCCAAAACTCGGTGGGGGTCCCAGACACTTGAAATCGGACGCCGTCTGCTACCGACTGTCGCGTGCTCGCCTGTCCCCCTCTTTTCTAACCCCCGCGTCTTTTCTTTTAATGTCGAGTGTTTTGATTTCGTTTGTTGCTTCAGCCTTCTGAACAGGCTCGCACTGACAAGTAGTGAACAAGTATGAATCGAGGATTTTTTTTTTAAATGTTATCCGATCCAATCAAGCCACGCCAAAAGTATCTTCAAGGCGCTCGTCGTCGTTGTGAGATTGATATCACCGGCTAAACAAATCATGCACAGTGAATGCCCCCCTGGTCTTTTCTCTGTAAGTGATTGGTTTATCTGGTGATAGGAATCGACATTTTTTTTATTGATTTCATATACCCTCAGGGCCAAAGGCATTAGAGTACAATGTATTTGGTATAGGTAAAAAACGTGCAGTGATTATTAGTACAGTAAATTGACTTCTAGTTATACAATATTAGCTATGGCGTTCTTGAACTGCTGGTGATTTTCGATGTTTGCTGTTGGGGCGGGAAGGCCATTCCACTCCACTGATGTGCGGGAAAAGAATGACTGAAAAAAAAAAACATTAGTTCTACACGATGAAATCCCGACTTTATGAACATGATCTAATCGAGATGAGAGGAAAGGTGGGGGGGGGGGGGGGGGTCAAATATGTCTGGCGCCCAAGAAAGGATGAAGAAACAATTTGTGAAAGAGGCAGAGACGAGAGGTTTAGCGGCTGGATGCTAGGGATGGCAGATCAAGGCTAGATTTCATTGTACTAATGCCTGCAGTTTCATTATAGTTTGACATTATGAAACGAACAGAAATATTTTGAACCGTTTTAAGTGAGTGCATCAAGTTTTCATGACTGGGATTCCAAACTGAAACGGCATTTGTTTTGTTTGCAAGCAGCCGCGCTTCAATAGCTAGTCTGGCCACCGTGGACACAAGAATGCTTTGTTCGGGCTCCAGTCTGAAAACCGTGGGTACGCCTCAGCAGTGCTTAACTACCAGACGATCCACCCACACCAGCATCAAGATGGCGCCGCCCAGAGGCCGCACTTGTAAACGTCTTTGGTCCAACACACTTTTTACAAACGAATCAGCGTTCGAGAGAGGACGCATCTGCTCCTGCGCAGTGCCGACAGTAGCGCCGCCTCAGTGTGGCTCGACGTCAGAGAATTTAGTTGGCGTGTAGTTTTGCCTCTTGGAACGGCCTCAAGGGGTTGGTACCTGCGCACCTACACGCTAGGCGATTTGTTTGTTCTGTTTGTTTGCGTATCAAATGCTCAGATTCTGACATTGACGTGTTGTCCTCCGAGATCTACGAGTTTGATGGTTGAAAGGAAGCACCGGGGGTATTCATTGTTCATACATGCCCTACATAACTTAACGACAAAATGTCGGAGAAAATTACAATGGTCCCGCTTTTTCATTGAGCCCAGGTGTCGCCTACAGGAGCGCCCTCGCAAGAAGCGCCACGTGCTGCAGAGCATGGCGCGTCCGCTCAAAAAGTGGCTTATCCGACATCGGGACAAGCCATACCCGAGCAAGGCCGAAAAGCTGGCTTTGGCCCTGGGCTCGCACATGACCCTGGAGCAGGTCTCCAACTGGTTCGCCAACGCCCGGAGGAGGCTGAAGAACACCGTGAGCATCTGCGGAATCCAAAGAGGTTGCATGTTCGATAGTTGACATGAGAGGAATGTCGGAACGTCCAAAGGAACGGAAGATCTAGCCGAGCATGTAGAAGTGTAAACTCGTGCTGCCTACCGCAACGAAAGATTTATTTAATTCGAAATGTCTTGGTAGTCTCAATATCCAATTATGTGCCCAAAAAGCTTGGATATTCAATTAGTAATGACACGAGAGGAATCTCGGAATGTCCAACGAGACTGGACATTTGATTGAGACATGTTCAGCGATACTCAGTGAGTACCTAGACGGAAGATTAATTGAATTCCTAGTGTGCGGTGAGTCTCAATATTTTATTTACATGGCCAACTACGTTAAATATTGGAACAAGCAGGTGACACAGGAGAATGCTTGAACGTCCAAGGAAAACGAATGATTTTTTTCTAGTCTGGATGTTTCAGTGAATCAAAATGTCCTCAAAGACGGAAGATCCGTACGAGAAATATAATGCCCAATGACACTGAATATTCACTATCCAGTATATTCTGTAGAATCAAGGAATATACAGAAAATATTTTTCAACGATCCTGATCATCTAAGGCGTCTGAATATCCAATAAGCTGCAAAATAAGTATTTCTGAATGTCCAGCGAAACGGATGATCCCATCGAGTCGGAATGTTCACTGAGACGGACTATCCATCCGAGATGCAATATCATTTGAGCAAACGTCCACCGTTGGATATTTCGTCCCGTTGGATATTTAGACTGGGTGAACGTTGAGCCGCAAAATCCCTGGATAGGGGACGGTGGTTGGGATAGTGTTACGGTGCAAACAAAAGTTCAGCGGAAGGCCTCATCCACACAAATGCTGACACCAACAGAAATAGCAAATAGTGACAATGTATAAGGGGTCATTCACCCGAAGATTAAACATTTAGGTTCATGAAAAGTTAATTTGGCGACACTGACTTCATTTTACTATTCGAGCTCTTAAATGTTTATTTATATCGTTAACGACATACATTGTAGAACCTACTCAAAATGGAAAGAGCGACAGCTTTAGTCTCTAGTCTTTAGTCTTTACTTATTTGGCTCTGGAGAGCCCCGGTACCGCGGAAAGGCAGCGGCCCTTTCTATGGAGGCCCGTGGTGCCGCGTCTAGTGAACATGATTATGTGATGAATATATACAGGCATGCATGATGATACATGCTATTTTACGACTTTTTTGTGCTTATCAGACTGTATTTTGTTTTAATTTTGCAATATTAATATTTGCAATAACATACTTAAAACGTATTAACTCAAATTTTGTGTCTAGATTAGAAAATGTTCTTGTGAGGGCTGCTTCTTTTGTAAAAGCTTCTTGAAGTGCTCCTAATGGTCCAAATTAAACTGATATTGAAGCACAATAATATTTATTTCGAAGCATGTCCAACTTTTGATGATCAGTGTAGTATTTTTACACACACCAAAATATAGATTTATCACGCAAAACGTACACAGTCAAAATACTTTCCGCGTACCGAAGCACTCATATTTTTTCGGGGTAGATGCAGGCGGCATGGAGGGTATTGAACCTTGCATTTCGTGCCTGCCATTAAAAATTTAATTGGCCAATGGTAGATACGCCTTTTTTTTTCTATTTGATGCTACTGACCCATGCTGCGATTTACTCACGACACAACTGGTCGTTATTCGACTGACCGTTTAACGAATACGGGTATTGACAGACAGTTACGCGACCGACAAATCGGGCAAATTAATTAAAAACAACAACAACAACAACAACAAAGTCACACTTTGAATTCAATATTTTTAACACCACAGGAACGTATGTCTGTTTTGCCACTGCAAGTCATTTCTCATCGAGATGTTATGAAAAATAGCTTATAAAAAGTCCGTTACACCACTGACACATCAAAGAGGTATGCATTCATTTAAATGTATTCATAAGGTAATGTAAATTACAGGTTTTAGCCCAATGTGAATGTCTCTTGTTGTAAGGCTCCCCCGAAAACGTGTTAAACAGTCTGCATACTTACAAATTGAATGTGGTTGTCAGACGTGTTTAAATAAATTTGCATATCTTTCGTTATGCCGCTGACGTTGAGGGCAGTCACACTTGTTTATTTTTAAAATTCATAAAAAATATAAATACTTTAGTAACACTACACGGTGAGATCATATCATAAGTTGGAGCTTACGTAGGTTTACAATTTTATTAAATCAAACTTATAAAAGTTCACCTCGCTGTAACAAAAGTTAACGCCTGGTAGTTAGCAGATGCAAGCAAACGCTGAAATTACACATAGGACACAATCTAAATTTTTTTTTTGTCTAAAATAGTGTTAATCATGAGAACTTGAAAATATTTGTTTTTAGAACAGCCTGAAACTATATTTTAAGAATGATGGAATCAAGACGTTTGAAAGTCCCTTGACAGTCATATTAATGTTTTACTTTCGGGAGAATGACCCCGACTCATTTGAAAAGTGCTTAGCAACTGTACATTAATAGTTAGCTGACTGTGTAATTATGTTTTATTTAGGCTGTGTGCGTTGGAGGAGGAGAAGGAGGAGGTGAACAACTTTATTTAAAGCTAAAAACAAGGGCATGTGGGTTTGGAAATCGTCTTGCAAAACAAGATATTGTACGCTCTCATTTCCAGGCATGGAGGTAATCTTTATATCAGATGTTTTATTTTAACAACGTTTGGTAAGCTTGGTGCCGCGTTGCTGCACTTGTTTGTTTTTGTGCTGCTCGTGCGGTGCGTAGAAATGTGTCTTGTTTTTGTTTTGTACTCACGTGTACCTTTAAACGTATTTTTTCAGGTGTTCTTGCCGGGCATGAATTGGGGGGATCGGATTCGGCGATACAACAACTTCATCTCAGGCAACTCGGAGCCGTTGAGCATCAGTTCGGACGACAGCATCTGGGACAGCGAGTGCGACTCGCGCAACAATGATGAGGACTTCGCGGACGACAATGGCCGGGACAACCGACAACCAGGTTCCTCTCTCTCTACCCCCTCTTGTTCTACTAGAGAGCAGATCCGACCGTCCCGCCCCTAGCGCCTAGGTTGGGAACTAAATTCATGGGAACGCGAACAACATGAATTATTTATTGACCAGATACGATCGTCGCGCCCCTACACTCTAAAAAAATCTGTGCGTGTACTTTCCCGCACAACACTCGGAGAGCCAATCAGCGCAACTTACGGAGGCAGCTCAGCGAATGACGATGCCGAAACATATGTTTAGACCAAAAAACGCAGTCTGAATTGTGACATTAAGCAATGCAAAACGTCACGCTTGCATTGCTTAATGTCACAACTCAGTCTGCATTTTTTGGTCTAAACATATGTTTCGGCATCGTCATTCGCTGAGCTGCCTCCCTAACTTGGGGTGATTGGCTCTCCAAGTGTTGTGCGGGAAAGTACACTCACGGGCTTTTCTTAGAGTGTAGTGGCTAGGTTAAGAACTGTATTCGTGGTGACACGGACGACGCGAATTATTTGTTTGTCGTTCTGAAGCGGCGCTCGGCTGACGTAACCGAACGCTGAATCAGCGTTCGGCCGAGGCTCTTACAAGCCGTACACTAACGCAGCAGTAATGCCAAATTTATATCCCGTGCTCGATGGAGAAAGACGGCATAAATAATCCAGACCACAGGCCTTGTGTTGAGTAGACATCAAACACTGTAAAAAAAAAAAGCTTGACAAAGGACTTTTTCAGTTCTATCTCCTAGCCAATAGCGGCTCTCAATCCGGCGGTTCTTCGTCACGTGGCTCCCACCGATGCGCTGATAGGCTTACTTGGGTCAATTCTTTCACCGCTTGTCAAGATATGCTAGGATGTTACTACCTGTCATTTTCTAACTAAGACATGCAGAGTCACGTCATTCGGCGCTGCAAAAAAAAAAAAAGAAAAAGAAAATTGAGTAAAACATTCCAAATAATTTCGACCTGAAAAAAAAAAAAGAAAAAGCAAAACAGATTTTGTTATGTAAGCTTGCTGGGGTAAGTAGTATTTACTCGTCGGTTGTCTAAAATATGCGGAATGGCACAGATTTCCTCATGTTTGTAGCTTTCAGCTTTTCAGGAAGTTTGGAATCAAAACATATTTAAGAATACTGGCGAAACCTATGAGTCTAGAAGGAGGGCACTTGTTTGCGAACATGCGATGCGTATATGTAATAAATAACGCGAGAAACTCCGTTTTTTTTTCCCGCCAGCTCCGCTGAACCGCTGCCCAAACTCCAGATCGGACCTGTGCGAGCACAGCTACTCGTCCGCGGCGGTGGAACCGTGGGCGGAAGCGACGTCGGACCGCCAGCTTCCCAAAAACAAACCTGCACCGCTCAAGCGAGGGCACCCCCAGGACGAGAGGCCAGGCCAGCCGGAGTCGAACAACAAGCGAGCGCGCCTGGCATACGACTCTGACTCGGCCACGGACGAATCGTCGACGACGACGGCGACGCCGACGCCGGACACGTCTTGCGGTACTTGCGACTCTCTCGTCTCTATGCACTCACAGACAACCGAACGATCGCAGGTTGCAACTCATTGTGTTCGCGCTTCTCGCATTCTGATTGGTTCTTGGGCTTTTCTTGTCGGTTAATGCCGTAATCAGATTGGCTGCTAAGCGATAATGAGATGTCCGGGCAAATTTGGTTTTTGCGCACGCGCAGTGTTCGACTCCGGCTGGCCTGGCCTCTGGGCCAAGCCAGCCGGAGTCGAACAAGAACACAAGCCTTCTTGTTTGTTACCGTGTCTAAAATTCAAAAGGTCGAACGTTCGAGTCGTAATGATCGCCGTTTACGCCCGCTCTACACTAAATACAAAATAGTGACTAAAAAAAAGAAGTAAGCAGAGTGCCAATTTTTCACGCGTGGTTTATTGAGTGGTTTTATGTAACAACAGCACGAACACGATTAGCACGACGACCAAGAATTCATGTGGACGAAGCGCAAAAGATAGGCGCTACCTTTCACCCGTCCTTGTCTTTCACGCCATGTGTGTTCTTGTTATGCTTGCCCCTACATTCCTTGGTCATCGATGAATCATAGACACTGCACCCGTGCCAGGTCTCCCCACCGTCACTGGCATCCGTCGGCGGTCCTCGGACGCCGACGAGTCTCGGCGACCGTACAAGAAGTACAAGACGACCATGCTGCTCCGCTACATTGGTGCCGACTTGGGCCAAGAAGAAGAAGAGGAGGTGGATGGGGAGGGCAGGTTTCGCGGGAAGGAGGTCGACCGCCAGCCAAAGAGCACCAACAGGGCGCCTCGAGACAGCCAGAGGGACAGGCGCAAACCAGAAGCTGTCAAGGAACGTCGTCCTCCAGCAGACGGTGAGGTTCCCTTCGGCGGCAATCCACGCGTCTTCGCGGATGTTTGTGCGTAACAGCTTCTTGAACTGGTGCACGCTTCTTTCGAGGCAGCGGAAAACGTAGCGGGGATTTCCTCGGAAGGTTCCGGACGGACGCTCGACAAAATGTAGGAAATTACGTACACTCTAAACTCACGGTCACACTGGTGGTACATCATGGAAAAGATCGTCTGCAAACACTGTCCGAGGTGTGTTTCTTTTAAAACGCAGCTTTAGGCGGCCGTTTTCGGCTTCAGCGGCGTCGGCATCGGCTTTGCCTTAACCGCGCGTTGCATGATGAGACGTTTAATTCCCATAATGACGTCACGTGTGACGTCACCAGGGTCACAAGTGACGTCACGAGTGACGTCACGAAGGTCACTAGGGTCACGAGTGACATCACGAGGGAGGGAGGAAGGGGGAGAAGAATGAGAGGAGGAGGAAGGAGGAGGGGAGATGAAGGAGGAGGAGAAGGAAGGGTATACCCTGCTCTCCGTACCCTCTCCTTCTCCCGCTCAAGAGCTGCGCTCGAATTCGGCACTACAGGGAATTTTAAACGTCTTTCATTTTTCGTATAGCGTATAACGCATAAGTACATTGGTGATACAAAAACTGTCTGAGAACATCTTTGAAGCGTGTATGAAACAAATATGTTTCAAAGATGCCTAAGCCGCGTTCGCCTTTCATTCCAGCACCACACCTTCAGAGAAACTCCGTGTCTCTTTGTACAATGTATGAACAGTGTCACCGTGGTTTAAAAAATCTGAGGCTTTTTTTAAGTTCCCCGCAAAGCACTCGAAGGCGCCAGTCGCTGTTTAGACCTAGAAATACAGTCCGCGCTGTGCACGGTACTAAGAACGGTGGAAAAGTCGCGCTCAGTTGCCGCAGCCCAGACGGTACTTTTAAGCCTGTACTTATACTACGCGTCGTCATCCGACGAGCGCTCCCTCCGTACCCTGCAGCCATTGACTGTTCAGAGAGCTCTGCGGGAAGTTAATCTTCCAGATTGCTTAGAGTGTATAAGATGCATTTAAAGAAAAACTCGCCTTCCGCGCTCTGCCATCTCTGCCTACTGGGCTGTGGAACGCTTTCCGAGCATGTGCCGTAGCTCTTTGTTGTTTGGAATATCAGATGTTCCAAGTGTGTCCACAGCTCAGTGACTCAGCACTTTTTCGGCCGCGTGATAAGCGCCGACGAGGTCTGTGGTCCCGGACAACCTGAGAAAGGCTGCGCGTGTCTTATCATGTTAGTTCACCCTTCTTGCCTTCTGATTGGCTCCTCGGCGTTCTTATTGGCTAATGCTGCAATCTGCTTGGTTGCGGAGAGATAATGATATGCTCGGGACACGCGACACCTTGCGCTTCTTAACTTGTCAGTGAATGTACAATGCTTTGCGACGCGCAGTACGACTTTTTGCACTTTTCATGGGCTTCCGACTGCTCCGGCCTTTCAGAAGATTTTTTTTGTAGCCGATTGTTATATGCATTGTTCTTCTATGCGACTCCAATATCGCTTCCTCTTATAACTCGATGGTGTTTTTTCTTATTGCAGAAGCAATAACTATTCCATGAAGCGAAGCGGGCGGTGTCTCTAACCGCGAGAGAACGCGAAGGGAATTCCCGTTCTCCCATTGGCTGAGCGAAACGGCTCCTAGATAGCCATTGGCGGAAGCTTCACGATAGCGCGCGCTCAGCCGCCGCTCTCGTGTCAGGCGTTGCCGAGGGGGGGGGGGGGGGGGGGGGGGCGTGCGGCCGCTTCACGAGAGCGTGCACACGGCCGCAGCTCTCGTGTCAGGTGTTGCCGGTGGTGGGTGGGGGGCTGCGGCCGCTTCTGCTTCTTTCGACGCCGAGGAACATGGTGGCGCCTGCGGCATCTATATCGTCGGCGGCCGCAACCTCGGAAGTAACGAAACGCGGCCGTCCACGTCAGTACACTGCAGACGAACGAAGGGAGCGGATAAGCGACATTCATGCTTTCGCATTCACAACTCCAAAGGGCTTAGGTGTCCTCAGAATTTGTATATTCCGTATATGGCACATTTTTAAGGGCGTAGGAGTGAGTTCAAACCACTTCATCTTTGTCTTCTTGTTACTTCTATTTTTTTTTCTTTTTCTGCGCTGGCAGGTCAGAGATCGGCTCCGAAAAGAAAGAGACCTTGCAGAGAAAGAGAAGATTCTTCCAGGTTGGTTGGCTACATGTTTTTGGAATTTGTTCTGTTCGTTTTCGCTCTGGGACTATAGCAGGGATGGCCAGAGTGACATGGGGTTAGAGCCACCTACACAACTACAAAAGTTCAGAAATCCGCAGAAAAAAAAGGGGAGGGGGCATTTTTAACAAGTAACGATGTGGTCAGAGCAGTCCTTTCCACAGGGGACAAGTATAATTGTCGACTAGAACAAATAACATCAGGCAGCGGAACGTTTCTACAACCGCTAAGCAAAATATGAATGCATGGTTTGTTAGCCAGCCACTGCCCCGGACACCAGTTAGGCGTATACGGTTCTAAAATCTCTCTAGAACAATAAAGGAAACAGGGTCACTAGACGCATCTATACATCAAAAAGCGATACAGCTGTATATCACTAGTGTTGAGCAAGGCTGACAAGAGTGTGAGATTTTATTTAATTCCCCAACTCTTTTTGTCTTGGGGACACAGATGGAGAGGGCGGAGGGGGTGGGGAGGGCACGCTTACTAGGGAGCCGCGAACCGCAGTTGGGCCACCCTTGGTTTATAGATACCTATATATACCCTTTGGGTGTTATCAGTTACGAGCGAGTAACGCTAGTTATGCACTCATAATTGGACGCTGTAAGTGTGCGCGCGTTTTTCCGATGCATATTTTACAACGCAGGGAAGCATGCAATCTTGCACCTTGTTCCGAGTAAATCCCGAATACTTTTACGCGGTAACACTTTTCGCGGACTCAAGACTACACGATGCATGTTCGGCCATTCCCTCCTCTATACTGACAAAGCCTCGCAGATCGCCTTGAGACGCGGCCGCCGAAAGTGAAAAGGTAGAACGGCAGACAACGGATGAGAGGAGAGTCATGTAACGGGCGACCCACTGCGGCGAGGCGCCGAAACACACTTCTCCCGAGTGATGGAATGTCCGCTTGTGCTCTTCGCGTTCCTCGCGCGTCCTCGCCGCTGCAAAAGCTGTGCGCTCACTACCAGGTTCCCCGAGAAATGCTCTCTGCTACCAGATCCTCGCGCTCCAAATCTACGGACGGGCGCTCTATGGCTCCGTCGTCGAACTGCCAGGCTTTGTGAGTCTAGAGGAGGCTATGGTTCAGCACTTCATGTAAGCCGTCATGCTGTATTGCGAAATTGTCTAGCTGCGGTCACACTGGAATTGCGTCATACAGAAGGCAGCCTGCGGACATTGTTTGACTCTTTCTTGTTTGAGGGTCTTTTCACATCGGTCAAACAAAAGCTACCTTTAAGGATGTTCAAAGCGTAGAAAGTATGTACGATGCAAACATGTCTCGACCACGCTCACGACGTATCTGCACTTAATTTTGTCATCATCTCTACATCCTGTTTTTTGTATGATGTATCAGCAGTGCGACCAAAGTTTACAACTTTCCACTTGATGAAGTAAAACATTTACTTCTGTAGGAGGGTCGGAGGATAAAACAATAATATTTGAACTCCGATAAGGGAGTTATTGATACTGCACTGTATGCTCGTTCATCTTTTTTGTGGTTTAATCGTGTAATCGTGTCTTATTTCTACTCCCTTTTCTTTATAGTCGAGTGGATCTTTGCTGGACAGAAATGGACGCCGCGGAAGCACTGACCTGTCTCTCGCAGTCGGCGTCCAGCCACTGTTGGAAGCGGAGTTCGTCTGATCCTTTGGTTGTTTAGACCGAGTCTCCGGACAACGACTGCCTTTTGTTGCGCTGGAGCAGGAGTGCTGGGAATGGAGCACTATCGAGAATAGTTCTGCGCACGCGCGGGCTTTCTTCACGCTGCAGCGGAAGCTTGAACTCTACAGTTGTCATCCGGAAGGGTAGTCGCACTACCCTTCCTGGTTCCTCCGCTGCTCAGACGAGTAGCGGAGGGGACGGGAGAGGTGAGCGCACCACTCCTTTCGGACACCAACTGCACTTCGAGTTTTCGCCGCTTGGTGTCATGTTTATCTGAAATGCGTCAATACAAAGGGTGTCTGCCCTTTGCAGTGTCTGCGGACTATCTTTTGTATGTTGTATTAGGAGTGCGATTGCGGATTTATGGTTACTCGAGGAGTTAATCCGATATATACCGGGAGCGCGGGTCGCTTCTATACAGATTCCAATAGGGCTTGGGCTCCATGTTGTGGTGTCTCTGCGTCATTAGAGAATTTCAGCAGATAGTTCCGATGACTCCGATAACGATACCCGATACCCCGCCGCCACCGCCACCGCCACCCTTGCGCATGCATCGTATCGTTATCGGGGGTATGGGAACGATCTACTGAAACTCTCTGATGACCCCAAGTCGCTTTAGGGCGGGGTCACACCGCTCATTCATCATACAAAAGACAGCCTGCAAACACGAGTCAACGTGGTTCGAATGCCGTGTGCCAAGTTTTCTCCTTGAAATCATTGCCAAGCGGCATTCGAAGCACGGATCTCGCGGTGACTCCCGTTCGAATCTTTACGCAGACTATCTTTTGTATGATGTATAGGCAGTTTGACCCCCGGCTTTGGGAGGAAAGCCCGAACTGATGAGGTGAGGAGGTTTGTGCCTGTCACCCAATGTGGCAGAGATATGTTTTGTTCAGTTTTTCTATGACCCGATGTGGGTGTAAGCTAGTCCCGCGCCCGCATATCTTGCGCCAGCGTATCTTACCGTGGTGAGCGCCTGGTCATAGCTTGCCACCCGGCTGAAATATTCGGGTTTCGTTGTCCGGATTGGCTCTGGCACTTTGTAAAGCGTGACAATTGAGCTTTTTTTGTCAATCGGCGAAATTCTTTATACTCGTCGTCGACTATTTGGTGCTACGTTATGAAGGCTGGCTAGCGCAACTTCCAGAGTGCTTTGGCAATACCA